CACTGATCATCATCACCATTCCTGGCGAGTTTGTGAACCAGTCCGGCGAGCCCTTCTCCGCCACGCAGCAGCAACGCCGTGAACCCCTGTCCGTGACCAAGCAGTTCCGGCGACCCTTCTCCCTGCGCGCAACTTCTACCGCGACCCTCTGCCGCAGCCAGCAAACTCCAGCGACCCACGCAGTGACCCGACGAGTCGCCCTCGTCCATTGAAGCCCATCGCGAAGGTCCCGTTCAGCCGCTGCTCCTCCTTCCCCGGAGAGACACGTGAAGCCGTCGAGCCCGTCGTCCCATCGAACCGTTCGAACCATTCTCGCTCGCTTCCCGAGAACGGTATCGAGCTTCGACCCCTTTTTCTATTTATTCCGTATTCGTATAATGCGATAATTGTGCTTTGTGAATTCATGTGCTCCTTGATGTTGACTTTACATGAGATTATATCAATGATATATATATGTAAATTGTTAATGTGATTTTATGTGAATCTCGTTGATTCGTGCGAATCGAACGAGAAATCATTAGAAGTATCAAGTTGTTGTGGATTTAGGTACCTAGGATTGATACGAACACAATGGCATTGGCCTTGTGAGTTTAGAGTTATGAATTTTCGAAATTCGAAATTGCTGTTTTGAGTATAAAATTCACTAAAAACAATACACTGATCCGGTTGCTTTGAAATTATAGGTGTAATTGCCTCTGTTGATTTTATAGCTCTTGTATAAATTTTAGGATTTTATGAGGTTTGCAACTATTTTAAATAATTAAAGTGATTTCCGGGCAGAAACATGTTAAATGCATAATAAATTGGTCTGTGCTCCAAATTTGCTGAAATTTTAATAAGTTGTCTCCCTTTATGATTTATATGTTTTGTAAAATTTTCAGTATTTTAGGATTTAGTTAGCTAGGGTTATTAATTTATTTAAATATTCGGCTGAAAATTGTTTTTATTATGTTAAATCAGTCAGTTGCTAAAAAATTCTGATTTTTGGCTGAGGTGCTTGTTTTTTGTGGTGTTTCTTACTGAAAAAGATTGGAATTTTTGGAGTTCGAATTGTTTCAGTTTTAATTAAAAATCCGAAACTGCAGAAACCTGTATGAATTTTTAAAATTCGTGTATTTGATGTTAATAGCTGAAATTTTTATATGTTGGTCCATACCTACTTTAGTTGCTTCAGTTCAAATTTCAAGTATTAATTCGTCCATTAGGTCAAGCTATGAATTTATGCTCGTTTTTAGCTGAAATCGTGTTTGAATTTTATAAAATTGTGTATAATGAGTTTCGGGATGAAACTTGTTGGTTTTTCTAAGCATTGGGAGGTGAACTTTATGTTCAAGTTTCAGAACCTAACTCATTCGGAAACTTGATCAACCTAATTATGTGATATATCATTTTCTATTTTTCAAAAATATAGTTCTTGTGTCAAAAACAATAAACCGAATTTCTTGTTGTGGTTGTGACTTGTTTGATCTATCTTTTATGTGATATTTACGTGAACTCCCATGTTTGGTTGTTCGAGTCTAAGTCCTAGAGTTCCAACATCCACAGTACTTCATGAACAGCTTATTCGAATCAAGTTCGATTAAGTCAGTTTTGGTGTTTTCTGTTTAAGTCAGGTTAGATGTTGATTTTTTTTTTTTNNNNTTTTTTTTTTTTTTTTTTTTGGATCTTGACTTAATGTAGGTGTTTGAGGAGTCAAGCCTCAACCTAGTCTCCCCTGTATTTGCCGTTATCAATCCGGAATCCAGGTCGGTTTACTTAAAAAATTACCTATGCCATATGTATTTGAAGGTGTTAAATTTGGTATGATCTATGTATGCATGTGAATATGTTGCCTATCGACGTGAGCTGTTGCGGCTGTCGATACGGTTGTCCCCGTCAAGTTACGGTACAGTTTCTCTTGCGAGACAAGTCTCCTTTAGTCCTGATATGGTTGTGCCCTTGTGAGGTACGTAAGCCCATATAGAAGGCCGCGTCCGTTAAAGTGGCACGTACTCCCGCCTTCGGGTAATGAATCCCCAATTCTGTGGCTAGCGATAGATGTGCACATGAGTAAGGTTAAATTGTGTGATATTGCATAAGAGATGAGACATGATGTGATTATTGTTTATGTTCATGCTGCAACCATACCAATATTATGTTATTCATATGCATAGTGTGAGTACGATATTTCCAACTGTACTCACTCTCACCTGCTCTTCACGGATGCAGGTTAAGCAGTTGGCTGGTGACGAGGCAAGGCGAGTGGGTGGTCTTGCTTTCTAAGACTATTATTTACTTCCGCATTTATGAACTTATTATGGTTTATTTGATCATGTTTGGCAAATATTAATGGAGTTTTGTTTTCTTACAATACATTCTCCTTATTCTGCACATTCTTACGTATGGCATGTTGGTATGATCTGGATGACAGGATGTTTAAATTGATTTGATTGGAATTTGCTTGTTTAGAACACCCCTTGGGATGTGCAGGTTGGTCGAAAACTCACGCTTCCGAGCTGGGTGGCCTCCTGTTTGGAACATTTCTCGGATTGGGTGGGCAAGTGTGAAGACAAACCCACCAAGAATAAGGCCTTCGGGCTGGGTGGTTGCTTGTTTGGAACACCCCTTGGGATGGGCAGGGTGGTCGAAAACTCACGCTTTCGAGCTGAGTGGCCTCCTGTTTGGAATATTCCTCAGATTGGGTGGGCAAGTGTGAAGACAAACCCACCAGGAATAAGGCCTTCGGGCTGGGTGGTCACTTGTTTGGAACACCCCTTGGAATGGGCAGGTTGGTCGAAAACTCACGCTTTCGAGCTGGGTGGTCTCATGTTTGGAACATTCCTCGGATTGGGTGGGCAAGTGTGAAGACAAACCCACCAGGAATAAGGCCTTCGGGCTGGGTGGTCGCTTGTTTAGAAAACTCTTTGGGATGGGCAGGTTGGTCGAAAACTCACGCTTTCGAGCTGGGTGGACTCTTGTTTGGAACATTCCTCGAATTGGGTGGGCAAGTGTGAAGACAAACCCACCAGGAATAAGGCCTTCAAGCTGGGTGCTCGCTTGTTTGGAACACCCCTTGGGATGGGCAAGTTGGTCGAAAACTCACGCTTTCGAGATGGGTGGCCCCCTTTTTCGAACATTCCTCGGATTTGGTGGGCAAGTGTGAAGACAAACCCACCAAGAATAAGGCCTTCGGGCAAGGTGGTTGGAACACCCCTTGGGATGGGCAGGTTGGTTGAAAACTCACGCTTTCGAGCAGAGTGGACTCCTGTTTGGAACATTCCTCGGATTGGGTAGGCCAGTGTGAAGACAAATCCCACCATGATTACGGCCTCCGGGCTGGGCGGAAGAACACGAAGACACAGACGTTAGTAAGGAGTTCATGAGCGATAAAAACCTATCATGTTTAAGGTCATGAGGCTAGATGGTCGCATGTATCGACCACCTCTGAAGGTGGGCATATGTTCGAAATAAAACCCACCATGTTTAAGGCCACGAGGCTGGATGGTCGCATACATCGACCACCTCTAAAGGTGGACATGCATTCAAAATAAAACCCATCATGTTTAAGGCCATGAGGCTGGATGGTCGCATGCATCGACCACCTCTGAAGGTGGGCATGTGTTCAAAATAAAACCCATCATGTTTAAGGTCATGAGGCTAGATTGTTGGATGCATCGACCATCTCTGAAGGTGGGCATGTGTTCAAAATAAAACTCATCATGTTTAAGGCCATGAGGCTGGATGGTCGCATGCATCGACCACCTCTGAAGGTGGGCATGTATTCGAAATAAAACCCATCATGTTTAAGGCCATGAGGCTGGATGGTCGCATGTATCAACCACCTCAGAAGGTAGGCATGTGTTCAAAATAAAACCCATCATGTCTAAGGCCATGAGGCTGGATGGTCGCATTCACCGACCACCTCTGAAGGTGGGCATGTGTTCAAAATAAAACCCATCATGTTTAAGGCCATGAGGCCGGATGGTCGCATGCATCGACCACCTCTGAAGGTGGGCATGTGTTCAAAATAAAACCCATCATATTTAAGGCCATGAGGTTGGACGGTCGCATGCATCGACCACCTCTGAAGGTGGGCATGTGTTCGAAATAAAACCAATCATGTTTAGGGCCATGAGGCTGGATATCGCATGCATCGACCACCTCTAAAGGTGGGAATGTGTTCAAAATAAAACCCATCATGTTTAAGGCCATGAGGCTGGATGGTCGCATGCATCGACCACCGCTGAAGGTGGGCATGTGTTCAAAATAAAACCCATCATGTTTAAGGCCATGAGGGGGGTTGGTCACATGCATCGACCACCTCGGAAGGTAGGCATGTGTTCAAAATAAAACCCATCACTGTCTAAGGCCATGAGGCTGGATGGTCGCATGCACCGACCACCTCTGAAGGTGGGCATGTGTTCAAAATTAAACCCATCATGTTTAAGGCCATGAGGCTGGATGGTCGCATGCATCGACCACCTCTGAAGGTGGGCATGTGTTCAAAATAAAACCCATCATGTTTAAGGCCATGAGGCTGGATGGTCGCATGCATCGACCATTTTTTAAGGTGGGCATGTGTTCAAAATAAAACATATCATGCTTAAGGCCATGAGGCTGGATGGTCGCATGCATCGACCACCTCTGAAGGTGGGCATGTGTTCAAAATAAAACCCATCATGTCTAAGACCATGAGGCTGGATGGTCGCATGCAGTGCCTATCCCGGATAGTATGTGTGTGTTAAAAATTAGGCGTACAAGTTCTGCTAAAATTACGGTTCAAAATTCTGAAACTGGAGAATGTGTTGATTACACATTAAGGTTCATTTCGACCATCCAGTTGAGAAGTTATACAATATTACCAGATCTCATTATGGAATCGAAATACAAAGGTCATCATAATTACAAAATAAAGAGCTAGTCTACAGAGGAGGAGCAGTAGCAGAGTCAGCATTGGTATAGGAAGCGTGTGGCTCGAGCGGTTGACTGGTCCCAAAGGTTGAATCGCAGGCCTCATTGAGTGGACATTGTCGAATAGATTCGGCCAGTGCGAGCAACATAGGAGCTAGAGGGGTCACGCCATCAAGCAGAGCATATGTCTTCTTCAAGGTCTCGGATCGAGCCAAGGTTCTCTCGAGCAGCCCCGACCACCAGTCATGCTCGAGGGGTAAGTTGGGATCGCCACGGAAACAAGGGGGCACATTGGGTAATGAATCCCATATAGTCCCCAGGTCAAGCTGCTCGAAGTCATCCTCGGCGTTCTACTCGCTTGCTTTCTGTAGGGCAAACTGGAAACAGTCTACCCCAAAGTCCTGCACCTCTTTCAAGAATTGTGGCGACTGCATGAAGTCAGCAACCACTTATACATGTTTCTATGTATCTATCTAATGGCTTAAAAACCCTCACGGAATCATTCCGTGACGAGATTTTAGTATTTTCCTTAAATTGAATCGATTGTGGGTTAGCGGTACTCCCGGAGAAAAAGTTACCCAGTGGTAGTAGCCCGCATCATTTGTCGAGCTCGAAGAGCAGCGGCATCCACGTAGCGTTTACGTTGATGGGCGTGGGCAGCCCTCTCTGTGGCCAAGGTGGCCTCCAGCTCGGCTCGAGCAGCCTCTGCTTGCGCTCGAGCAGCCTCCGCCTGAGCTCGAGCAGCTCGCTCCTGCTCGAGCGCCACCTCTTTTTCCTTTAAAGTGGTCTCCTTCTCCGCCACGGCCACCTCCTTCACTGCGAGGGCGCCATCCTTCTTCACATGAGCTTTGTCATTTTAACGAGCTCTCCATCAAGAGAGGCAATCTTGGCTTTGAGCTCGGCTTTTTGCTCTTTTTGCATCTCGCGGAGCTTGGTTTGGTGATGCAGGAGGGACGCATTCTTGTCTTGAAGAGAGTCGTTGACGTCCTGCAGTTTCTTGATAGACGTCCTAGAGGTATCACGGGCATCCTTGGCCAAAGGTAGAAATTTGACCAAGCCCTATAATCAGAGGAAACATAACAGTTCAGCACACATAGCAAGGGAACATGGTAGAAGAGATCGACGCAATTATAGAACGAGCAATACCTGGGCAAACCATTGAACAAGCTGGTCGCCGAGTTCAGGTAGAGTGGCGACGTTGCCTTGCGGTCGTCCTCGAGGAAATTAACTACCTCATTCACCGAGGCCACGAGCAGAGAGGAGGACCTCGGGGCCAGGGCGTCAATAGTCGACTGGTGCGTGGGTGTTTCCAAAGCCCCTCCATTTGATCGGTACAGGGACGTTTCCCCGAGGCCACGTCCTGCCCCAAACCATCTTGGCCACCAGAATCGACCACGGTCTTGGTCAAGCCAGCAGAAGGGTTCTTAGAGGGAGATTGATCAGGAGGTGGTTGGGTCTGGGTGTTGGTTCTACATGAGGTATTGGTGTGGGAAGATTTGTCCTTGGTATTTGTTTTAGAAGCGGTGGTTTGGTTATCGGCTTTTTGGGAGGATGTTTGGCCAGTGTTGTTTTTGGAGGTGGTCGAAGTTTTGATCTCGGCTATTTCGGGGGGTGGTGGAGCAGTGGTCTTTAGAGGAGGTTGTGGAGCCTATCGTTCCTGCTGACGTTCTTTGGGTTGTGGCTGTTGTTGTTGTTGTTGCTGCTGCTGCTATTGTTGTTGTTGTTGCTTTGGCGGCGGCTGTTGTTGCTGTCGTGGTTGTTGTGGCTGTTGGTATTGTGCCTGCGATTAGGGCTGGAAAGAGGTGGTCAAATCATCGACCTGATCGGCCTGATTCCCGGCCGATCCAGAGGTGGACACGGGGCCGGATTTTTCTTCAGGGGCATCTTTCTCGGGTGAATGTTGAAGCTGGGCACCTCTGCAAGAAAAGAACATGAACATTAAACTTAATATCGACAAGGCATACTCGTACAAGAAACAAAGAAATATATGGACACCCGAGCAAACTGGTCGAAAATTACCTAGATCATCCTTAATCGTTATCAGATCAAGGACTTTATCGGTGGGAGGAGAGAAGGCTTTATGGGTGAGCAGGCCGCAATAGTGGAGAAGGCTGTCGTCTTTAAGAAGAACGCATGACGCAACGGGGTTGGAATTCCAAACATGAATCCGTTGGTCGAAAAGGGGGTTAGGAGATGGGTTCGAGATTTCGCGAGGAAGTTCCTTGAGCCAAGGATTAGGCGCCCAAGGAAAAGGAATATCAGGATGGATGTAAGCGAAAGTATCTGCCCACTTGGGGATGTTAGAGGGAATGTCCGAGATGAAATGGGCGTTATTGCGGGTTTTGAGGTAAAGGCCTCAGGCCTGTTTGGAAGGGGCGTAGCAGTAATGGAAGAAGGCTAAGTCGAATCGACCTAAGCGGACATGGCATAGAATGATGAAGGTGGACATGAAACGGATGGCATTGGGAGGAAGTTGGTTTAAGGGAAGCCCGAACCACTCACAAATTTGGAGTAGATCAGGGCTGAGAGGGAAATGGATGTCGAGGTCGAACTGGATTTTGAAGAAGGTGTAGCAGTCAAAAGGGGGATTGTCGTAGGTGTCGGAAGAAGAAGGGCAGTAGAACGCCCAACCAAAAGGATGGCCGACCTTGTCGCCCTTTAGCCATCTGATTGAATGAGAGGCAGAAGAGGTAGATTTAGAGGAGACTTTGGCAGAAGATTTTGGGGAAGCAGTTTGAGAGGCAGAAGGAATGGTCGAGGATTTGGATGCATCGGGTTGAGAGGAAGAAGGGACGGTCGACGATTCTAGAGGAGCAGTTTGAGAAGAAGAAGGAACGGTCGAAGATTTGGGTGTGCCAGGTTGTGAGGAAGAAGGGATTGTGGTAGTAGATTTGGTGGTAGTGAATCGAGAAGAGAGAGAAAAGGTGTTAAGATGATCCTCGTCCTCCTTTGGCACATCTTGTGAGCCAAAGGTAGGTCGACGACGGCATAGTGGAATATTATCCATAGAGTCCCTTGAGTTAGAAGCAGAGGCAGGAGCAAAAGTAGGGTAAAAACAAGGGTAGGAACAGTATCGTCGGGGCATAGAATTGAGAGAAGAACAGCGTCGGGGATATAAGGAACTTCCTGAACTGAATCAGAGGAGGCAGTGGTCGAGGAGGAATACGGAGAACTCTAGTCAGCACCGGAGTGATGGTCGTTTTCACTGAAGGTTGCGGAGTCTGAAAAAATAAGAGCAAAGGGGCAATATCAAAAAGGGAGTTTCCACGAAGAGAAAAGGGAGGAAAGGAAGAGACTTTCAAAGCCTAGGGTTTCTGGAGGAGGCGATTTTGAAAAACCAAAAGGAGGAAGAGCAGGAATTTCGAAAAATTTCAAAAGAAAACCAAAATTCGTAACGATCAACAAGCAGATCAAGATAACCAGCGCACAAATTCGAAACAAAACGCATAACTCAGAACATTCAACAGACAAATTCAAGACACCCAAAGCAGAAAAGTCAAGAGCACGTAAATTCGAAATACAGGAAAGCACAAGTTCAAATGAGGAACAACTTACTCATCGTTGCAGTGGGCAGGATATCGAGGAACTGGAGAGGAAGGAGAGAAATCACCAAGAGCAAAAGATAGGGTTTTGCAGAGAAATCGAAGAGCGCAAGAGAGTTCGGAAAATGCAAAGGTGAAAAAGTCCGAAAATTCACTAAGTATGGGTTTTATACTTGGATGGGTTGAAGGGTTGGAGGATGAGAACCGTTGGATTAAAGCAGAAGCCCACGGTTGAGATCATTCAATTAGCACGGGATTCAAAAGGGGCGCGTTATGCGAGAGGGTACAATAATTAAAGCACCTTTCATACACGACAGATACGACATGTGGCAGATGTGCAAGCGCGGTAGAAAGGACGCGTGGCAGACAACTTTATTTCTGGCGGTTAAAGGAAAAATAATTGAAGAAATAGCGGGAAACTTACAGGCGGTCGATATCTGGCATAATATCACCCAGGAGGAAGGCGAGCACAAATTAACTCTTAGGTCGAGTCATTTAGACTCGACCAGAGTGGGCGGGACTAGATGATATAGGATATTATACCCACAAGGGTAAACCGGTCTGCTGAACCGGTCGAAGGGGTTGTACCGTGAGAAAGCCGAACCAATCTAACGGTAATCGAGCAAGATGATGATGGTCGAGCACCTTGAAGGTAAGACCTGGAAGACTCTAGGATAGACATCGTATCCCAAGTAGCGGAAAGATCGACCAGTCAAGCAGTCGAGCAGTCGAGCAATCGAGCAGTCGAGTTGACCTCAATAGATCGACCACTTTATTGATCGGCAGTATTCTGATCAACTTAGTCACAGGCACGTGCAAGAGCCTCTAACCGAATTCCAGGGGAATATTTATAGGAATAATCATCCCATGTGCAGAAGACACGTTGCGAGAATGCATTGGTTGACAGCGACAACCACCTCTGACAACTCCCTGCGTCACCTCTGACATACACGCGGCGTGTCAGAGTACGAATTGGCAGCTAGGGCAGCCAGCTCACCATGCTCGGGCAGCCCTTAGGTCAGGTATCTCACCCCTATATAAAGAGGGGTGAGCCTTTCTTCCTTAACACCAATTTCCATTATTCTATTCAAACATACACATACTTACTTAAGCATCGGAGGCTCTTCACCAGAGAACCCCCCGGTGTGAGAGTTGTTTGCAGGTTTTTCGGCGTTCTACCGGAGAGGGCGAGAGGCTATTCCAAACCGACCAGGACGCTCACACTTGCATTATATTTGACCTCAGTGGCAGGTCGAAAGGTTCAAAGAAAAAAATCCACCATGACTAAGGCCTCCGGGCTGGGTGGTGTTGGGTTCTATTAGGAACGCTGACAATGTGCACATTCAAATCTATTGAATATTAAGTCCTAACGCAGCGGAATCTATAGTTAGGATTAGAACTTACGGTTTAAAATTTTTTCCGACTCTAAGACGTTTCTGATTTTTGTTGATGGAGATCGTATGAACACCAAAGTCTAATGGGCAGCTAAACTTGTCTTTTCTCGATTCTAATCGAGTTGTAAAGGTGCTCCAATTGCTCATCAAGCTCATCGAATCGTCTCGGACCTTCGGTAAATTAATCGGAACATTCGAACTGCTCGGGAACTGCCTTGGACACGAACTAGAGTTGCTGGACCGAGATGGACCGGTTTGCAGCTTGCTGGACCGGACTGGAGTGTGCCTGGGCCGCCTGAAGACGCGCTGGGCTCGAGTTGAAGTCGCTGGGCTCACTTGGATGCTTCTGGGCGGATCTTGCTAGTTGGGCCGCGTTCATGAAGAAGTTGGGCCGCGGAGATACTCACTTGGGCCGAGAGGACACGCTGCCAAGCTGGTTACTTCGCGGGCTAGGATCGGGCCCACACGCAGGTTAAACTCAGAGAGAAGTGCGGGCCCAGTGCGGGCAAAGACGCGGGCTCCATTTATGAATCATGCGGGCTGAAGCGCGGTCTCTAGCGGGCTGTGCGGCCCGCGTGGTTTTGCTTCTGCTGGTAACAAGGTATGCGCGTCATGGGCTGGTGATGCAGAAGTGGCTAGGCAGCTCAAGAACGCCGCAAGTCGAGCTTACCATGCACGCAAGAGGTAAGCACGGGCAACGGCAGAAGTGCGCGCACTAGAGTGTAGTGCGCGCGAAACGGGCGAAGATAGGCCGCACGCGGATGTGCGGGCGGTGTGTGCGGCTGGCATGCGTGGCGGACAGGACGCGCA